TTCGAAGGTTTATTTGTTTATGTTATTTAAGAAAAAACTCAAAACTAACTTTGTTGACTTAGTCTCGAATAAGACATGACAACTGTCAAATTATTAGCCAGACTTGAGAATTACATGTGATAGTGAGCATAGATTTGTTTTTTATTTCCGATTCTAAAAATACACTCACATGAGTGAATAAATTTCAAATTTTTCGTTGTTATTTAGTTTATCTATTAAATCCCTTTTTCGATACATGTCTCATAGTTGTTATTTTTCTGGGCATTATTATTTTCAATTCCTCATATTGATTGTGTTAATTGATGTTGATTGATTTGTGTTTAAATACGCGTAAGTATCTTAATACGGCTTTAATGTACCGATTTATTTGTATTATCACTTAGCTCCAAAATGAGGTGTTAATTACCTCCGCTATAAGATGCTATAATTGAGTAATTAGCATTCACCAAATGTTTGCGTAAATTTTGAATGTTTTGATTTTTTCTACAACTACACGTGTTGCGGGCTCTATAAAATTTTATTGACAAAAAACGCAAACTCATGATCAAGGTACATTTTACAACTTGTTTTTGTTCTAAGACATGTGATCATGATTGACAATTCACATCTCTTTGCAGTCAATTAATAAAAGTTGATGACAAATTTTGTCACCATAATTCAAATTTAGGATTTTCCACATCATAACAAAAACAAAATGCAACGGGTATATTCAAGGAGGTGGAAAATTCGACGTACGTCAAGTTCTTGTGTTATGGAGTGATGAAATTTTGCAACTGACATTTTAATTTACGATGAAAAAGAACGACTATTGCAGGTTCTTCTTCTTCAGTCAAATCGAATGAGAAATACTTCAGTAAAACAAACATATCCTTCTTCCATCTCGAATCTTTGAGCGTTTATTTCCTCCTTAATTACTTTAACCGTAAACTAAATACCACCAAAAAGGGGATATTGACGTCGAATTGACAAGAAATTTATATTTGTATGCTTTCATCGTCGTTTGGCATCTTTTACCCGAATTTGTCCTTCTGGGCTCTTAATATAGTCGCTAAGGGTTTTCCGCCAGCATATATTCGATATTGTATGAACACCTGACCGTTAACAATGATTTGTTCTCGTTTGATACCACACAATTCTATAATCATTTTAAACAGCATTGTGTCGATTCCCATTTCCAACGTAGTTTATTCGGGGAAGTTTCTTCGTCAAAACTTAGGAGGTCAATTCGGAGTCATGCACCATATTCTGTTTGCCTGACGTCGGTGCAAGAAGAATAAAAGAAGACGACTCATTGTGCACCATGACCACCACGAATTCTAGAAAATCTGCCCAAACTCGCATCCGTTCGAAGACACCATAAGGAATGTGGGCAATATTGCCAATTTATTAACATAACTGAAACCGAGAAAACCTAATAGTTTTTGACTTATTGATGCCATTGCAAATTTTTCATGATATTGTCCTCCAATGATCATTTTCGTGGAAACTGCGTCTACTTTAATTTAAAAACCAGTAAGGAAATATCAAAAGTCGGACTATATAAGACCCTTCACCCCTTTGGGTAAATACAAGGAATGATCATATGAACAATATCCTTCAGATAGAATATACATAGCATCTTTGCAGGACCATTGAAATGGAATCGGACGAAATTAACTGCGTGAAGTACATATATATTTGAAATAAATTTAAAACAAAACCCATACACATACTAATTTAAAATTTATGAACAATTTAATGTCAATCAATCATCGAACAAAATATGTATGGCATCCTCCATTTGCAGCATACCAACACAGTGCGCTATCCAAAATTTATCTCGTCACAAAATCCAATACAAGTTATTCTAGGTTCGATTTGGTACGATGTGCACTAATACGTCTTTTAGTTATTTGGTACATCATTTTGATAAAATGGGATGAAAATATATGAGGAAGCTATTTACATTGACAGAATGGTGCACCATTTACGTAAAATCGAAGGAAACTATATATGGAAGGTATATCTAAATCTGAACCGATTCTAACAAATCTTCGCATACCTAAATTTGGACCTAATTCAGTACGTTTTGTATGGTGCACCATTTACATAAAATCGGATGAAACTATATATGTAAGCTGTATCTAAATGTGAACCGATTCCAACAAAATTTCACATAAATAAATTTGGACCTAATTCAAAACAATGCGCAGAATGTTTTACCAATCGACATACATTTGACTCTTTGGTGCTCCATTTACATAAAATCGGACGAAAAAATATATGGGAACTATATCTAAATGTGAACCGATTCCAACAAAATTTCGCATACATAAATTTGGACCAAATTCAGTACGATGTGCAGAATGTCACATCGGCATAAATTTGAATCGGACGAAACTATATACGGGAGCTATATCTAAATCTGAACCGATTCCAACAAATCATAACATATATCAATCTAGACCCAATTCAGTACTCTGTGCACAATTTAGTCTCAATCGGACCAATATTGGGAGTTTTGTGCAGCATTTATATAAAATCGGACGAAACTATATATGAACCGATTTAAATCTGAACCGATTTTCCCCAATTTCAATAGGGTTCATCCTTGGCCTTGACATGTACCAAATTTCATACAAATCGGATCATAAATGCAACCTGTACATTGTTCACAAAAATACATGGACGGACGGACCGACAGAACCATGATATGATTCTATGCTTATTCCCAAAAGGAACCATGGGTCTATCTCGATTCCTTTCGGATGTTACAAACATATGCACAGAGACATAATACCCTCTACCACAGTGTGGTGAGATGTATAAAAACAGACAACAATTTTTTTTTTGCCAATTCGTCACCTAAATATTAACGAACCATTACCAAAAATAATAGGGGACTTCTTTGACCAAAACCCGCCCTGCATGAAAAATTTGGTGGCGATTGGTCCATAACTTTGGCCTGTATCATGTTTACAAATTATAATGGACAGACGGACGGGCACACATGTCTAGATCGACTCAGCTAGTCGGATATCAAATACAGAAATCGATAGTTCTGCTGTCTGGGAAGCAGAAAGGGACGTAAACAATAGGCTAAAAACAAGACCAGCATTCTGACAGCTTAAATTTGTATATCCTGGAAAACCTAGGTTAAATTATTCGAAGCATGTGTACAATAGATTCTCTTGTGTCTAACATCATCACGCAAACGCTATAGGTATTCATTAAAGTATGAAAAACGTCCATAGAATAACCAGAATGATATTTAAATTAAGGGGACCCCCCCCTCATTCTCGGTTTCAAAGAATTTAATTTTGTATTTTGATTTAATTCGAATCCGATCGATTCCAAATTTTGGGACGTTTCTCTGTGAGTGTATAGCTATCGTATGAACTAGGATAAATCCAATCGGTCAAGACCTTCCTTATTATACCCTTCACCACACTGTGGTACAGGGTATTATGTCTTTGTGCATATGTTTGTAACATGCAAAAGGAAACGAGATAGACACATGGTCCATTTGGAGAATATGCATAGAATCACTTTCTGAGTCGATTTATGCATGTCCGTCCGTCTGTCCGTCCGTCTGTAGATGTTAAATTGTAAACAAAGTACAGGTCGCATTTATGATCCGATTTGGATGAAATTTGGCACAAGTCACTTATTTGGCCCAAGGACAAACCCTATTGAAATTGGGAAAACTCGGTTCAGATTTAGATATAGCTCCCATATATATTTTCGTCCGATTTAAGGTAAATGGGGCACCAAAATCCCTCTATATCTTTCGATTTGCATGAAATTTGGCATAGAGTACTGAATTAGGTCCAGAATCATGTGTGCCAAGTTTCGAGAAAATCGGTTCCGATTTAGATATAGCTCCCATATATAGTTTCGTCCGATTTAAGGTAAATGGTGCACCAAAGTTCCGATTTGCATGAAATTTTGCACAGCGTACTGAATTAAGTCTAGAATGATGATGGTTTCATGGTTTCGATATAGCTCATATATATATATATATATATATATATATACATATATATATATATATACGATTTTACATAAAAGGTGCACCAACCTTCTAATGTTTGTCCGATTAACACGATTTTTTGCACAACGTATCAAGTTGAGACTTGAATAACGTTAATGCGTTTTGTTGAAATTGATGCAGATGCTGTCATAGCTTCCATATGTATTTCGAATGGATGCCTGAATGAAATTAAAATTTTAACAGTGCGGCGACCGAACAGCGTGTATTAATTTTGCTATAAGTCGTTTTTCATAAATTTGTCCCATGGTACGAAGTCGACTTTAAATCTGCCCGAATGAAATTAAATATATCATAGGTTGCATCCTTGGAGGGGATGCATGTGTACAATATACCCAAAGTGGTGAAGGGTATCATATAGTCGGCCCAGTCCGACTTTACTGCTTTTTAGAATATCTTAAGCCATCATATGATGGTTCACTCGCTGGTAGATTTTGTTCGATCTAATAAAATACAATTATTTTTGTTTGCAAAATATGCAATTTTCAATTTTATTTATTTATTAAAATTTAACAAAACAAAAAACATAAATGCATTTATAAAAAAACAAATATGATTGTTAATTTCTTCAAAAACACATTCGAGAATTTTTTACTAAAATTATTTTATTCAAACAGAATTATTTGACTTTCATAAGGAAAAAAACAAATGAGGCATACATTGCAAGTTTAACTTAATAAATAGTATGTTTAGATGTCTTATCAAAAAACAACAACAACAAAATATTAAGTGATTTTTTTTTTTTAATTATTACGCGGTAATAGACATTTTTCTGTTTTGAAAATAAATTCTATATTTGGTGTTTGAAGATTTAACATTCGCTTAAATGATAAAAAAAACTTATTTAGAAAATTGTATCTCATATGGCAACACTGTACTGTGGCAACACTGCAATTAACTTGAGGGGGCCAAGTACGGTGTTCTTAAGAAGACCTAATGATGTGATGTGGGACTGGGACTGAGGGTGAGGGGAAGGGGAAGGTGCGTTGGATTTATGACAAAGGAACATCTTCCAAGTTGCGCAATTTGTGGTGGACGGCTTCTTCCTTGACTTCACGTCTGAACACAATCTTGTAACCGAAGGCAGAAATGGCGGCGGCAGCAAGGGGACCAACCCAGTAAATCCAGTGGCTGGCGAAGTTGTTGTGCCACAAGGCGGGGCCGAAGGAACGGGCAGGGTTCATACTGGCACCAGTGAAGGGACCCTAAAATGAAATGAATAGAAATGCGATTAGAAATATTGGACGCGATGTGGTTGGGAAAATTGTAAGGGTATGTGTGAATACTTACAGCAGTAATGGCCAAACAGGCAATAGCCAAACCGAAACGAATTGGAACGGAATCATGGAATTTGGAGTTACGTGGATCCCAGACACCACAGCAGACCAAAACCAAAACGGCGGTAACAATGAATTCAATAATGCAACCTTGACCGGGAGTGATATCAGCATGTGGCAAAGTTACACACAAACCAGTGGCGGGGGTGTTGATCACGCTGTCGGGCAATACAACCTTCAACAAACCATATCCAATGAAGCCACCCAACATTTGACCACAGAAATAGACAATAGCCATGGGCGCCGATACCATTTCATAAATATAGGCAGCAACAGTGACGGATGGATTCAAATGGGAACCGGATACACAACCGAAACATTGAATGACCACCATGACTACCAAACCGAAATTCAAACACATTTGCAAATGGTTGTTGTGGAAGGTTTCGGTGCTGACACAGCCCATACAGCCCAAGAAGACCAACATGGCGGTACCAACGAGTTCGGCCAAGAAGCAGCAGATTTTATCCAAAGTATCAGTCTTCATTTTGAGTTTTTCAGCTAATTTATTGCAGGAACTGGAAAGAGAAATAAAAAACAATTTTTTTAGAAAATTTGGAAGTTATAACCGAATAAATAAATTATTTTTTTAATACTTCAAAATTCCTAAAACTGCAAAACTAAAATAAGGATTTAATATCTTTCATAAAACTTAATTTTAAATTTTATATAAATTGTGAAATTCCATAAAAAATACTATGATACCTCTTTTCACAAAATGTAGTGTTTGGTATTCTTCAACCCCAGAGACTGAAATAAAAAATTTCTGACCGCCCAAAAATTATTTGGGCTGATTCATTGCTTTCTACGAGAACAATCCCATACCATTATTCCTCCTACCTGTATATCGATCATATGAATAATTTCAAAGTTCAAGACATATATCTTCAATTTCAATCTAATGCTGATAATATCGACTTTTACCCCTCGTGCAATTTTCGTTCAGTATTTACTAAGCAATTATTAATTACCCGTTAGCTACTTCTGCGTTTCGGTAAGTTTCGTTTATTGTTTACCTTCAATAAATATTTGAATAATATCTAAGTCAATAACGGTATCGATTGAGATATTACCCCCAACAAAAACATACACACACTATCACATTCATAGTTTTTTTTTCCAATGTCTCAGTAACCATCGACAAATAATTATCTAATCGAGCAGGGTGGCGTTTAGCTTTTCAATATGAAAATTTCTACTTGAAGTTGGCGGTAATTACGTGCCACATGTAGTTTATAATTGAGAGTGATGTCGTTTTGTTGTTTTTGTAAAAAATGAAGACAATATTTTTGCAAAATATTGCAATCAAAAATTGTTTATTTATTATTTTGTCTGGGTATCCGACATTGGTAGTGGGGTCCAAACTGTAGACCTATATATGACAATTTTCGAGACATAGTAAAGCCATCATATTTCAAGTTCCAGCCGATTTGGTAAGAAATTAAGGCTATCCAAAATCAATACTGAAAAATGTGGAAATTGGACAGTCCTGACTATAGTCAGGACCACTCTCGGTATAGTGGTGTAGAAGCAACAAATACCAAAATTGGGCGTGTTACTGTTTTATGGGGATCAATTTCAATACTAAACATCCTAAAAGGAGTAACAATATATGTGCAGAATTTTCAAAGCACTTTCTCAAATGGTCCGAGAATTATTATAGCATTAGGTGATAATCTGTTAAGGCAAAAACACTAATGGGGCTGCCATCTGTCGTTGTTTAGAGACAACTTCTCCTTGAACTTTGGATAGTGGTTGCAGTCCTTGCTTCTTTTAGTGTTGTTATTTTCCTTTTTTTTTTTTTGCAAAATAGTCGGGCTGAATCCCAGCATTTTTGTTTTTATAAAAAAAAAAAACAACTATTTATTAGTGGGGAATGTATGTCATTGTTTGCCGAGGGGTAAGGCAGCGAAGACTATAGGTTCGGATCACGCCACTGATCGTCATCAGTTCCCTTAGTTTTTTTGTTGGGATATTCTCCCCAGAAGCTATTGCTTATATACCAAAAACCTTTCATACCCAAATGTCTCTTGTAACAAAGCGAAGTACTTAGCTGGCCAACGACATAAACTGCATGAGAATTTCGCTGGTGCCTCACTTCGAGGTTAACAAGGCATTTACAAACAATATCATACCTTTCCTCTGGATGGCACCATACCCTGTCATTTCTGTTTCGGTATACACAAGAGGGGTTTATTACTCCAGAAATTTTCTTCTACTGGTACTCTACCACTGCAGTAGCCTACCGTTGTCATTTAT